TTAATTTTAAGTTCATTCTTATTTTGTCTTGGAATTTTTGGATTGATTACAAGTCAAAATATGGTTAAAATTCTAATCTGTCTGGAGTTAATATTGAATTACTTAAATATACATTTCAATGTATTTATTATATTATATATATTTCAATATATTTTACATTAGATTATAGATAGAATAATCAAGATATATAAATGATATAAATACAAAAGAGATTGAACAAGTGAAGTAAGTAATAATATAGTAAACAAATCATACAATATGATAATACGTATATATACGTATTATCATATTGTATGTAGCCTGTATCCATTGTGCAAAGACAGGTTCAATCAAAATTTGTTTTTCTGGAGTACCAAAAGCTTGCATTACATCATTATGGACATATAATCCTCTATTTTTGTGATATATGTCTATTTGAGTAGTAGAATATAAAATAAAATATAATAAAAGAAATATATACTAATAAAATAGGAGAATATAAAATAAATAGATAGATAGTATTATATTGTCTATTATATGAATATTATTATATGAATATATATATATACATTTATACATAGATATATTTCTTTTTGAAAAAATTAAAGAAATAATTAGTATTAATTTTTGTAGATTCTTTTATAAACATCATTTTATGTAAATATCGTAGGCTATTATGCTTAGTGTGTGACTCGTTTTAATTGAATGTTTTAACTAATTGAATTACTTAAATATACATTTCAATGTATTTATTATTTCAATAGACAGACAGACAGACAGACAGACAGACAGACAGCTGATGGATAATGATGGGGCTAATGGGCAGGTACGTGTCTGAATATGCCATATTGGTGGCGGAAGGGGAGGTAGCAGGTGGGGAAGATGGTTGGGTGGATGGATGATGGGTGGATGAATGCAAGACAAAGGAATGAACTGCTTAACGCGCAGAAAGACTCTACTACTTGAGGGAGTCCAGGCACATTCAAAAACCGATTTTCTTGGACGTATCCGACCCCCTTTCTATCTCCACATTCACTGGGGAAAAATCCTATTCATGCACAGAAAAATCTATACGCCAAGGGCACATTGAATCGAGGACTTTCTCGGAGAAGTCATTTCAAGCACACACTAAACGAGTCCGCCATATGAGTGGCTCGATGTCCATCCATCCATTCTGAGCCACTAGCAACGGGGGGGGGGGGGGGGGGGGGATATGTCTTTGCCTCGTCCTACGGAATTGCCAGCCAGCTCTGGAGTCATCGTGGCCATGTTCTGATCATTTACGTTCTGAGAGCATTACTCACACCAACACCTTTTTGATTGACTTCTGGACGTAATTGCAGTCAAGTACATCCAAGACAGGCCACAATTGTGGCCAAGTACACCCACGAACGTCCTTGTACGAGTACGCTACACTCTGAGTCTTCCGACCTAACAGGAGGAAGCATAAACAAACAACAGGGGTTTTCAGATTCGCCGGTCTGGGATTTGCACATTGGCAGCCTGTCCACAAGAATAAGATTTACCATCTTCTCGCCCAAACCTGCAGCATGCCCATCACATCTGCACCTGGCCCAAACTGTGCAATAAATACAGGCTATTATTCAGCTATCATGACCACGTGTAATGTTTGGTGGAAGACAGTAAGCCAGATACGACTTCCCAATCAGCAGCCCACACACAGTCCCAATCAAAGATGGGGCTCACCTTGCTCACGAATTTAAGAATTCGGCTCCGCCGCAGCATTGACATGCGCGCTAAGCCCCGCAAATCTTTCTGATACGCCCCTCTTGCGAGCTCCATATGGTATATAAGACCCTTTAGCTGCCACCAAAGAACAGTTGGACGACGACAAGGTGACAATTCTGTTGTTCAAGCTGAGCTTTTTTTTTTTTTTTTTTTTTTTTTTTGTGATTGATGAATTGATATCATCAGCGAATGGTCTCCAAGCACACCAATTATAATCACAGGACGACGGTAAAGCTGGGCACGACATATCGCTTTCCACCTCTTGATCTGTGAGTCAAAGGGACTGCTCAATCTTGCAAGCGCTCCCCACTCATTCCTTGACAAGAAGGCCACGCCCCAGTGGTACTATGTTCATGCTTGGAAAGCATGAATGTGGCCGCAATAGAGGCCACGTTCATACTTTCCTAGCATGAACATAGCACCCCTGGGGCCAGACCCTAAAAGTTGTAACTTTTCTCTGAAAGGCTTTGTTACAAACTTACAATCCACCGTCCCTTGGCATGAGACGGTTCTGTGACCCCGCCACGCCACTGAATGTGGCCGCAATAGAGGCCATGTTCATTCCTTATTAGTGGCAACGGCCTCCATCATGCCAGGGACAGTTCCCTAACCCCGTCACGTCACCGAAACCCGAGACAGCCAAGAGATTCCTGCAACCACCTTCACGCCGCCAAAACCGAACTCGTCCCCGTGACAGATATCAACCCAACTCCAAAAAAGAGCAATCGCCCAGTCCATGTGACTGGACGGTACACACAAGTAACCGTTGGGGGAACAGATCATGGGTTCGAGTCCTGAAGGCCTCAAAAGGATACAAAAGGGAGCAGGATCCTGAAAATGAGCTGCCACAGGCAAGATCACAGAAAGGATCACCAACAACTATCACAAGAAATCACATCCGGCATAA